ACCTCCACCAGTAACTGGTGTACTGACCATGGCATTACTGTCCTCGATTGGCCTGCAAATTCCCCTGACCTGAACCCCATAGAGAATATGTGGGGTATTGTGAAGAAGAAGCTGAAAGACACCAGACCCAACAATGCTAATGAGCTAAAGGCCGCTATTGAAGCATCCTGGGCATCCATAACACCTCAGCAATGCCACAGGCTGATTGCCTCCATGCCACGCCACATTGATGCAGTAATCCGTGCAAAAGGATTCCCAACCAAGTACTGAGTGCATTAATGGACATTTTCAAATGTTTGATTGTGTTTTGCTGTTATAAATCTTTTTTTTTTACTTGGTCTGAGGAACTATTCTAATTTTTTGAGATAGGATTTTTGAGTTTTCTTAAGCTGTATGCCATAATCAGCAATATTAAAATAATAAAAGGCTTGCAATATTTCAGTTGATTTGTAATGAATCCAGAATGTATGACATTTTTGTTTTTTTAATTGCATTACAGAAAATAAAGAACTTTATCACAATATTCTAATTTTCTGAGACAGTCCTGTATATTATTCTGAAATGGACCAATCTGCACAATCACTACTTTTACTTTTGGTACTTTAACTATATTTTGATGAGAATACTTCTCTACTTTTACTTAAGTACACAATCTTAGTATTTCCTCCACCTCTGGATAAGGGTCATTCCACGATGAATGTATCATCTTATTTCAGTCTATCATAGTCTTTAAGAAATGATGGGTTTACGCCCAAGCAACATATTGTCCTAATGCCTAATCAAAGACAACGTATATATACCATTTATATCGGCAGATAGGTAGAAATACAAGTCAGCACTTATTTAACCAGGTCAAATCCCATTGAGATCAACGATCTCTTTTTCAAGGGAGACCTGCAGAGTTCCCAAACTCTTTAATTTTCAACGAGTCCTGTTAGCATAGCACAATTATATCCAATTCTTAGGGAGGGAAAAGCTCATTCAGGTGGACCTTATCAAAATGATGTCCATGTTATGTGTTAATGTAAAAACAAACGAGCCATAGGGCTGTTGCATGGCTCACTTGGTGTTTAAATCTGGTCTGTGGAACCTTTACGCGTATGGAATGAGCCGTATGTGTGGAGAAGTGTACTTTAGTGCCACCTGGGTCAGATATAATGTCTGTCTCCCCCTCCCTCCCACTCCAAATCTCCTCTCCAGGCTGGTTTCCTGAAGAGCCACCACTTGTATGAGATCGTCTTCACGGTCCCAGACGTCCCCACTCTGGGCAAAGAGCTCTCCTGCCTCCCTTCCTCCTCTCCCAGCCGGAAGTTCCCCAGCCTCCGGGTGCAGCGCATCACCTCCACACCGGAGGGTGAGTGAGGCCCCATCACACATTCATCAGGAGTTAGGAGGGAGACACAGTGACCAATGAGCTGGATTTATTTCAGAGCTTCTATTTGTGAGGGCATATATATTTCACATGTACTTTATTCATTTTGGATACAAAACTGCTGACAGATGACCAGAACCGCTGATACTGTATTAATGGATACTGCTGATGCTATAGACGCTCCAAAGATGGCTGTGACGCCCCAGAATACACTGCGGCTCCCATTCCCTATTGCAGTGACACAAATCAGTCACAGATCACTCAATCTTAGTGAAAACAATCTTAGCTAACGCTGTATCATCACTCTCTTTCTATCTCCTCACCTCACATACTAGGCCAGCTATACACTATAAAGTGCAGCTGAAGCACAGGTAGAAGACACACCACTGCACTGCAGCACTTTGCTGAGTGAATCAGGAATATCACTGGCCCTCACCTTGCTCCTTCTACATCAGTCCAGTGTCTAACGCCCTCACCTTGCTCCTTCTACATCAGTCCGGTGTCTAACGCCCTCACCTTGCTCCTTCTACATCAGTCCAGTGTCTAACGCCCTCACCTTGCTCCTTCTACATCAGTCCGGTGTCTAACGCCCTCACCTTGCTCCTTCTACATCAGTCCAGTGTCTAACGCCCTCACCTTGCTCCTTCTACATCAGTCCGGTGTCTAACGCTCTAAGTCAGTCCGGTGTCTAACGCCCTCACCTTGCTCTTTCTACGTCAGTCCGGTGTCTAACGCCCTCACCTTGCTCTTTCTAAGTCAGTCCGGTGTCTAACGCCCTCACCTTGCTCCTTCTACGTCAGTCCGGTGTCTAACGCCCTCACCTTGCTCCTTCTACGTCAGTCCGGTGTCTAACGCCCTCACCTTGCTCTTTCTACATCAGCCCGGTGTCTAACGCCCTCACCTTGCTCCTTCTACATCAGTCCAGTGTCTAACGCCCTCACCTTGCTCTTTCTACGTCAGTCCAGTGTCTAACGCCCTCACTACGTCAGTCCAGTGTCTAACGCCCTCACCTGCTCTTTCTAAGTCAGTCCGGTGTCTAACGCCCTCACCTTGCTCTTTCTACGTCAGTCCGGTGTCTAACGCCCTCACCTTGCTCTTTCTACGTCAGCCCGGTGTCTAACGCCCTCACCTTGCTCCTTCTACATCAGTCCAGTGTCTAACGCCCTCACCTTGCTCTTTCTACGTCAGTCCAGTATCTAACGCCCTCACTACGTCAGTCCAGTGTCTAACGCCCTCACCTGCTCTTTCTAAGTCAGTCCGGTGTCTAACGCCCTCACCTTGCTCTTTCTACGTCAGTCCGGTGTCTAACGCCCTCACCTTGCTCTTTCTACGTCAGTCCGGTGTCTAACGCCCTCACCTTGCTCTTTCTAAGTCAGTCCGGTGTCT